TTTTAGGCCCTGAAAAGTTTTTTCAGCATCCCCAAGCCTCTGGAGCCCAGAGCGTTGCTGCAACGACGACAAAGATAATTCAAAAAAGTTCAACCCAAAAGGAGGCAGAGGACTAGTTCGAATGGCTTGCGGTCGAGAAAGAAATGGGACGAGGGCTGAAATCCGTTTTGAATGTAACGAGGCGAGGACTGAAGATTTAATCAGAGGGGAAAAGTAGATTTAAGACGAGGAAACCGTTTTGAATTTAAAGTAAATTTTGCAGATCAGTCATTATATAATTCATTAAATTAGTCATTTTATTAATCATTGTATTAGTCATTAATTTAATCATTATATTAATCATTATATTAGTCAATAAATGAATCATTATATCAGCCGTTACAAAAAAATCATTATATTAATCATTATCTTAGTCATTATAAAAGTCATTACATGAATCATGAAATGAATCATTATATTGATCATTATATTAATCATTATATTAATTTTATTAGTCATTGCATTACGCATTAGATTAACCATTACATTAATCATTATATGAATCATGATAATAATCATGATATTAATCATTAAATTCTTTATTCTAATAATCATTAAATTCTTTATTCTAATAATCATTAAATTAATCATTATATTAATCATGATATTGATCATTTTATTAATCATGTTATTAATCATTATATTGGTCATTTTATGAATTATGATATTAATCATTGTATTAACCAGTATATTAATCATTATATTCATCATTTTACTAATCATTATAACATTCATTATATTAGCCGTTTTATTTTTCATTATATTAGCCATTAAATTAATCATTATATTAATCATTATATGAATCATTTTTTAAAATCATTACATTACTCATTATATATATATATATATACACTCATTAAATTAGTCAGTATTTTACTCATGATATTAATCATTGTATTCATCATAATATTAATCATTATATTAATCATTATATAAATATAATCATGATACTAGTCCTTATGAAAGTCATTAAATGAATCATGAAATGAATCGTTATATTTATCATTAAATGAAACATTATATTAACCATTATATTTATCATTCTATGAACCATGAAATTAATCATTATGTTAGTCAAAAAAATAATAATTTTACCAGCCATTACATAAATCAGTATATCAATCATGATATTAATCATTATATTAGTCATTATAAACGTCATTAAATGAATCATGAAATGAATCATTATATTTATCATTATATCAATCATTCTATTTACCATTGCAATAATCATATTAGTCATTGCATTACGCATTAGATTAACCATTACATTAATCATTATATGAATCATGATAATAATCATGATATTAATCATTAAATTCTTTATTCTAATAATCATTAAATTCTTTATTCTAATAATCATTAAATTAATCATTATATTAATCATGATATTGATCATTTTATTAATCATGTTATTAATCATTATATGAATCATTATATTCATGAATAAATAAGTCATTACATTAATCATTATTTTAATCATAATATTAGTCATTATTTAAGTCATTAAATGAATTTTGTTTTTTCCATGGTTTTTTTTTGCAGTTTGGCCTGGGGGGCGCAGGTGTGCAAATTGTAGAGACGCGCATTTTTTTGAGAGGTACTGTGATGAAAGCATCTTCACATGAAAAACATGCAAAACAACAATGGAAAAAAAAAAAAGTTCAGACCCATGGGCAAGGTCTGGGGAGAGGCCTGGCAGGGGACATGGGTCTGAACTTTTTTTTGGGGTGTTTTTCCATTGTTTTTTGCAGTTTGGCCAAAACATCGAGAAAAAAAAAAACAAAAAACAAAAAGTTCAGACCCATGGGCAAGGTCTGGGCTATCCACACACAAACCAAAAAACCAAAAAACCAAAAAAACAAGAAACCAAAAAACCAAAAAACCAAAAAACCAAAAAAACCAAAAAAAACCAAGATTGCACACCCCAAGGGGAGGGGGTCAGATGCAGAGTGTTGGGTCTTGTCTTTTTGTTTTTTTTTGGTTTTTTGGTTTTTTGGTTTGTGTGTGGATAGCCATTGCAGATGTGCTAAGCAGAGATTGCCAGGCACTGTCAGTGGTTGCACTAGAACAAGGTCGATACACTACAGTACAGCAATGTTTGCTATGACATAGTGCATTCAGCCAATGAACAGCAGAGAGGAATGGAATTCAATTTTGTCCGGTTGCGCCATATGCTGTTGGATCTTTGCACAGGAAATGCCGCAATTTGCGCACTCCCCTGGTGGCCTGTTCTGCCACATGTATTTGAAGGCACGAGGTAGAAAAGATAGAAGTATGATGAACAACGTAATGAAACGGACACATGTAAATTATGTTCTCAAGAGAGTTCCAAGGTTCGCAGTTGATCCAAGTTGTGCTGGGTTTCCCACAGATCTTTTGCCCCATAAACAAATTGGATGGCAATGTAGAAGATCCAGCAGCAGAGAAGAGAGTAATCACTTGAGTTTCCAGCGGTCCCTGAGACGTGTTGCGATTGCATGTTGGAGTTGCACGTTGGAGCAAGCAGATGGGCCCAAATCGGTCTGAAGTCCGCATCGCCTGTAAAAATTTGTCACGTGGTAGTTCGTGTTTATTCCGCCTTACCCAAAGTTTGGCCCCAGCATCAGATTGAGGCCATTCTACACACCGTTGGCCGGGTGTGGGGCGCACTGTGCGAGGGCCTTCGTGCATCGTGCGAAGGTTACTTTGGGTTTCTGGCCAACCTACTGGATGCTTGGTAGATGACAACGAGACGATGCGCTAACGTGCTCGTTGGGCTCAAAGTTCCCAGGAGGGTAGCGCGCGAGTGGGGGTAGGGGAGGCCACTCAAAGTGCACTGAAAGATACCAGAGTTTTTGCGAGCCGCCCATGCCACATGTATTTGAAGGCACGAGGTAGAAAAGATAGAAGTATGATGAACAACGTAATGAAACGGACACATGTAAATTATGTTCTCAAGAGAGTTCCAAGGTTCGCAGTTGATCCAAGTTGTGCTGGTTTTCCCACAGATCTTTTTTAGCCCGTAAACAAATTGGATGGCAATGTAGAAGATCCAGTAGCAGAGAAGAGAGTAATCACTTGAGTTTCCAGCGGTCCCTGAGACGTATTGCGATTGCATGTTGGAGTTGCACGTTGGAGCAAGCAGATGGGCCCAAATCGTTCTGAAGTCCGCATCGCCTGTATTTGTCACGTGTTAGTTCGTGTTAGTTCGCCTTACCCAAAGTTTGGCCCCAGCATCAGATTGAGGCCATTCTACACACCGTTGGCCGGGTGTGGGGCGCACTGTGCGAGGGCCTTCGTGCATCGTGCGAAGGTTACTTTGGGTTTCTGGCCAACCTACTGGATGGCTTACAGATGAACAACGATACGATGCGCTAGACGTTCTTTCGTTGGGCTTCAAAATTTCCCATGGAGGTAGCGCGCAAAGTGTGGGGTTAGGGGAGGGCCACTCAAAGTCATCTGAAAGATACCCAAGTTTTTTTGGCGGAGCCGCTCCATGCACATGTATTGAAGGCACTAGGTAAAAAAGATAAAAGTATATGAACAACGTAATGAACCGGACACATGGAAATTATGGTTCGCAAAGAGTTCCAAGGTTCGAGTTGATCCATTGTGCTGGTTTCCCACAGAATCGTTACCCCATAACCCAATTGGATGGCAATGTAAGAAGATCACAGCAGATACGATAGTAATCACTTGAGTTTCCAGCGGTCCCTGAGACGTGTTGCGATTGCATGTTGGAGTTGCACGTTGGAGCAAGCAGATGGGCCCAAATCGGTCTGAAGTCCGCATCGCCTGTGTTTGTCACGTGTTAATTCGTGTTAGTTCGCCTTACCCAAAGTTTGGCCCTAGCATCAGATTGAGGCCATTCTACACACCGTTGGCCGGGTGTGGGGCGCACTGTGCGAGGGCCTTCGTGCATTGTGCGAAGGATACTTTGGGTTTCTGGCCAACCTACTGGATGCTTAGTAGATGACAACGAGACGATGCGCTAACGTGCTCGTTGGGCTCAAAGTTCCCTTGAGGGTAACGGACCGGGTTCGGTTTGTGCATTGTATGCAACGACGTATACATGCATCTGGACACCTGGCCCAAAGGTCCGTCCCAGGGACTCGCAAGTGGGGGTAGGGGAGGCCACTCAAAGTGCACTGAAAGATACCAGAGTTTTTGCGAGCCGCCCATGGCACATGTATTTGAAGGCACGAGGTAGAAAAGATAGAAGTATGATGAACAACGTAATGAAACGGACATATGTAAATATGTTCTCAAGAGTTGAAGGTTCGCAGTTGATCCAAGTTCTGCTGGCTTTCCCACCGATCTTTTACCCCGTAAACAAATGGGATGGCAATGTAGAAGATCCAGCAGCAGAGAAGAGAGTATTACTTGAGTTTCCAGCGGTCCCTGAGACGTGTTGCGATTGCATGTTGGAGTTGCACGTTGGAGCAAGCAGATGGGCCCAAATCGGTCTGAAGTCCGCATCGCCTGTGTTTGTCACGTGTTAATTCGTGTTAGTTCGCCTTACCCAAAGTTTGGCCCTAGCATCAGATTGAGGCCATTCTACACACCGTTGGCCGGGTGTGGGGCGCACTGTGCGAGGGCCTTCGTGCATCGTGCGAAGGTTACTTTGGGTTTCTGGCCAACCTACTGGATGCTTGGTAGATGACAACGAGACGATGCGCTAACGTGCTCGTTGGGCTCAAAGTTCCCTTGAGGGTAACGGACCGGGTTCGGTTTGTGCATTGTATGCAACGACGTATACATGCATCTGGACACCTTGCCCAAAGGTCTGTCCCAGGGACTCGCAAGTGGGGGTAGGGGAGGCCACTCAAAGTGCACTGAAAGATACCAGAGTTTTTGCGAGCCGCCCATGGCACATGTATTTGAGAAAAGGTAGAAGCGGTAGAAGTATGATGAAGAACGTGATGAAATGAGATGAAATGAACATGGACATGTTGTTTCCCAGTTTCGCCAAGTGCCAGGTGCGGGAAGCTTGTGAACCTTGCAGGCATTGGTGGATGCCAGAGGCGCGGCGCGATGAACTCCGGCAGCTCCGGCAGTCAGTATCCAGTACCAGCGCTGATGTCAGGATGAGAAAGCCCTGAAGACAGAAGAGATGAGGTTGGAATTGGACAAGTGCCAATCCTAGCCGATCCTAGCTTGTCACAGATGTTTATAAACCTGGACTCATGGCTGCTCAAGATTTGTTGCTGGGCTCGCATTGGCCTGCGAATAGACTGACTGACTTTCTCAATTTTTCCCACTAATAGTGATTAACCATAGTTATGAACCAATCACTAACCACTATTCTTTCAAATTCATAGCTGCTCTCACGGATGCCCAGCTTCCTCCGATGCGCAGCCCAGTTTCGGCACTGGACAGAAGTACATCCAAAATGGCATGGGGCAACGCCTGGTCATTGAAACCGGGACCATGTCAGGGGTACCCAGACGGGCAGAGCAAGAATTCGGTCAGAATTGCTGTGAGGATATCGGCCTATCCTATTTGGTAGTACGGTAGTATTGAAAGTCAATCAGCAGGGATTACTGACTTCAGAGAACATTTCAAGTGTAAGTGACGGATGATCATGGCAGCACCAAACAGCAGCACCAAACAGTTTTGCCAAATGTGCAGGGGGTTCTTCTCTCGCTTCTTTGGCATCCTGAAAGTTGGAAGCCAGGAGGTGCATTTTTACAGATGCTACCGTGCTGACCACGCCACCAGCCATTTCCAGAAGCTGACGACGGATCCAAATCGAGAAACGTATAGAAACATGGCACGTTCCTAGAGGATTTCGTATGTGTTTGTATGTCACCATTCAGCATTTGAGGTATAGACAAGGTTGCATGGCAACAGAAGAATCGCCAGCATTTCATGGTGAAGCTGTTTCATGGTTCTTGAAAAAAGACTCAAGCTGGACCCTCTGATTTTTGCCTAGGTGGCCACAGCCCCAGAGGTTCAAATAAAGTTCCTTAAAAAAAGACAGCCTGAGCCAACCAAAATTAGACTGCTATCAATGCATACATATGCATACACTATATACTGTATATATATATATATATATTATAACTGTGATCTTGTATGCATAGCTAACCAGTCCATTCATTATATCTCTGTATATAAATTCATTACCTTGTCTGTATTTACATGCTTTTACCGTATATGGGCATGCAAAACAAGCAATGTGCGGGAATGTAGTGTTTTGGCCGGGGTGAACTGCCACCTGCCGAACAGGTTCCTGGATGGATAATTTTCGAATCAGGGAACAAATGAATCATAAGTCATCATTTATGTATATTTATGTCATAAGATCATCTCTTGCTGAGTTCTTAGCTTGTGGCATCTCCAGTCGTTCTTTACTTCCAAGCATACCTATGTCATGCGTAGCGGGATGATCATGCCCTTTTCGACCTTTCATAATGCGTTTCTCCGACGCCGTAGAAAAACAATTACACCTTCATATCCTTCATTCCACCAGGCCCCTTCTAGGTTTTTTTTAAATCTTTTTTTCATGGCAGAAATTGGGGTGGTTGGGTTGGATCATAGGAAGGATCAGTTCCATTTTGGCGCGGATAGGCTGGTGTTTGCTACTGGATGGACGAACCTGAGAATGGCTGGGATGGGTCTGGTGCCCAGGGCTAGTCACGAAGATCGCAAGAAAATCATGTCGTGGCATTCCAACCAGTTGCAGCTCGTGCTCAGGTTCAACAACGACAAGGGAAAACAAGGACATCAGCATGCCATGATGGGCCATGATGGGCCATGATGGGCCATGATGGGCCATGATGGGCCATGATGTGCCATGATGACATGGCTTCCGTCCAAGGCTTCTGCAGAGGGTCAGCCTTTTTTTAAGCGTTTTTACAGGGCACCACACATTTTACCACACTTTTCTGGACAGGAAAGTTCTTGAACGTGGACTATGCGGACAAATGGTCTGGGTCCCACTGGGGTCCCACTACAGGTCGTACAAAAATGTGAACATGGTGAAGTCAGGCGACCTTTTCCGAAGTATGAGTATACTACGTATATTAACGTATAATATAACATCGAATATATATATATATGTATAAATAAATAATATCTGGATATTTTGGGACTAGGTTGTCAAAAAGTTTCACTGTGATATTTTTTGTTTGGACGAGGCTGGTTTATTTTGCTTCAGGGTTTTATGTTCAGGGCGATTAACCCACAAAACTCGTTACTACCGTGGACCACGTGGACTGTCAGCACGTGCTGTGGTATTTATCGAAGCATATCGCACCAGCTAGCGGGATTGGATACACTGATGGTCCCTGATGCCAGTATTCCAGTATCAATGATACCCCGATATATTCAGGTACTGGTATCAATGACAAGTAGAACCACATATCAAGGACACTATTCTTGAAGTATCAATGAGAAAGAGAACCGAGTATCAGTCATGAGTCGGTACCAGCATCCAAGCATCAACCATACCCAGAAACCCAGAATCAAGACAAAAAACGTTGGGATTTGCGCTAGATATTGATCATCAGCGCGGAAGCTTTTGGCGTCATTTAATACCAGCTGGTCAACATCTGTGTCGTTTGTGGGGTCAGTCCCATCCAATGGCATAATGGCCCATTCGCTGGGTGTAGTTCCAGACAATTTCCCACTACCACCCTTTGAAATTCGGGTTCAAAAAAAACCTATATAGATGTAGCTCAAAAAACCCCATACACCTATAACCAACAATTTGTTCAGGTTGCCATGTTTCGTGTGAGACTGGGAGCATTGGTGTTTGGGCGGTTCAATGGCCTTCATATTATGCAGGCAGGCTCTGTTTTTTTTTACACAAGCAAATGGGGAGAGCGAACCGCTGTATCAAAGGCTGACTGAGGACTCCCATCGGTTATTTTTTTTTCCAAGAGGCAAACACCTCTAACGCCTTACCCCTTTTGTGGCAGGAACGGTGAACACACATTTACTGCGAAGGTGTTTTATAACGAATCCCCTGCTTTTCGAGGTCACACCCAAAAACACTTAAAGACAAGTCGCCTTGTATAATCAAGAGTTGAATATGCCCTGCTATATATATATATGTGGATGAAATGAAGCAAGAAATGAACGGAAACATCTTTGACCAGATGGTTTTTCAGCACTCCACAACCTCACCAATACCTATGAAGCCCCAATCCCCACAACACACACGCACAAGATGGAAACCTGACGGAAATTATGTCAAGAAACCATTCGACCCAGACTATTTTGCAACATAGTATCAACTGGTTGGTGGTTTGGAACATTGCTTTTATTTTTCCATATATTGGGAATAATCATCCCAACTGATTAATATTTTTCAGAGGGGTTAAAACCACCAACCAGTCAAAAGAAACTATCAAAATCTTTCCAATGTCCAGACTGCGGACAGACAATCAGCAGTAAATCCAATCTTTCAAAACACCGGTCAAAGCAAGAAATGTCAAACAATCCCCACTGTTGAAATCCGAAACCTTCTCAACAACAATGACCTTTATTGAGAACGTTTTATTCATCATATACGTTTGTTTGTTTGAACCAGTTTTTGACCGTTGATGTATTGGAACGTAGGATTGAGACATTACACGCTTACAAAAAGGACATTTAACCTTTTCAAGGGTTTCCTCTAATATCTTATCTTTATGTTTGTAATACTACTCACGCGCCGCCTCCTTTCCCTCTTCTTCCGTCCTATGTGGAATGACCTTATTGACGCAATCTGTGTTCTTGATGTAGTGTCCTTATCGTCTCTCATAGTTCTTCTCTAGTATTACACGGGTAGTTTTCAATCAACTCAATCTTACAATCTTCAATACCAAACTCATCAAAATTTTCAATCAGTGAAAACTTCTTGTTTGCCTTGCCTGTCTTAAAGTTGCTGTATTCTTTTACTTACATTTTTGCAAGTGCTCCCTGAGTAGGATTTGCTGTATCCAATGTCAGTTATTTTGTAAATCTTTCCATTTTCATACTTATTCATATCTATATTTACCATACGTTGCCATTGTTTAAACCGAAATCACAAATTCAGGTGTGATGTTCTTACATTGAAATTCAACCCAGAGTCCAAGTGCCTGAATGCTCGATGAGATCCTCATAGGGTAAGGAGTAAATGGCACAGGATACAAGACCGGAAAGTTCAAACGAGCCGTTTAATGTTGAAACCAAACTCAATCCACAATCACTTCAACCTCATCCCCAACAATTACATGATCAAAAAATATCAAAAAAACTACTTAAATTTATTAAAGACACATCCACGAATAGAGCAAGCAGATTGTGTTAGATTACCCGGGGGGAACTCAAGAACCTCCCCTTCCATCAGGATTGTGGGCTTTCAAAACAGGTTGGTTGACCAGCAAATTTTCGAGCAAAAATTTTGGAGCAAATTGGAGTAGAATTTTTGTACTGAAGGGAAACAAGCAAAAATTCTGGAGCAAATTGGACTAGAATTTTTGTACTGAAGGGACACAAGCAAAAATTCTGGAGCAAATTGGACTAGAATTTTTGTACTGAAGGGAAACAAGCAAAAATTCTGGAGCAAATTGGACTAGAATTTTTGTACTGAAGGGAAACAAGCAAAATTTCTGGAGCAAATTGGGCTAGAATTTTTGTACTGAAGGGAAACAAGCAAAAATTCTGGAGCAAATCGGACTAGAATTTTTGTACTGAAGGGAAACAAGCAAATTTTCTGGAGCAAATTGGACTAGGTTTTTTGTACTGAAGGGAAACAAGCAAAATTTATGGAGCAAATTGGACTAGGCTTTTTGTACTGAAGGGAAACAAGCAAATTTTCTGGAGTAAATTGGATTCGAATTTTTGTGCTGAAGGGAAACAATCAAAATTTCTGGAGCAAATTGGACTCGAATTTTTGTACTGATGGGAAACACGCAAAATTTCCGGAGCAAATTGGACTAGAATTTTTGTACTGAAGGGAAACAAGCAAAAATTCTGGAGCAAATTGGACTAGAATTTTTGTACTGAAGGGAAACAAGCAAAAATTCTGGAGCAAATTGGACTAGAATTTTTGTACTGAAGGGAAGCAAGCAAAAATTCTGGAGCAAATTAGACTAGAATTTTTGTACTGAAGGGAAACAAGCAAAATTTCTGGAGCAAATTGGGCTAGAATTTTTGTACTGAAGGGAAACACGCAAAAATTCTGGAGCAAATTGGACTAGAATTTTTGTACTGAAGGGAAACAAGCAAAATTTCTGGAGCAAATTGGACTAGAATTTTTGTACTGAAGGGACACAAGCAAAATTTCTGGAGCAAATTGGACTAGAATTTTTGTACTGAAGGGACACAAGCAAATTTTCTGGAGCAAATTGGACTAGAATTTTTGTACTGAAGGGACACAAGCAAATTTTCTGGAGCAAATTGGACTACACGCAAAATTTCTGGAGCAAATTGGACGAGAATTTTTGTACTGAAGGGAAACAAGCAAAATTTCTGGAGCAAATTGGACTAGGTTTTCTGTACTGAAGGGAAACAAGCAAATTTTCTGGAGCAAATTGGACTAGAATTTTTGTACTGAAGGGAAACACGCAAAATTTCTGGAGCAAATTGGACTAGAATTTTTGTACTGAAGGGAAACAAGCAAAATTTCTGGAGCAAATTGGACTAGGTTTTTTGTACTGAAGGGAAACAAGCAAATTTCTGGAGCAAATTGGATTAGAATTTTTGTACTGAAGGGAAACAAGCAAATTTTCTGGAGCAAATTGGGCTAGAATTTTTGTACTGAAGGGAAACAAGCAAAATTTCTGGAGCAAACTGGGCTAGAATTTTTGTACTGAAGGGAAACAAGCAAAATTTCTGGAGCAAACTGGGCTAGAATTTTTGTACTGAAGGGAAACAAGCAAATTTCTGGAGCAAATTGGTCTCGAATTTTTGTACTGAAGGGAAACAAGCAAAAATTCTGGAGCAAATTGGACTAGAATTTTTGTACTGAAGGGAAACACGCAAAATTTCTGGAGCAAATTGGACTAGAATTTTTGTACTGAAGGGAACCATGCAAAATTTCCGGAGCAAATTGGACTAGA